GAAGGACAGGCTTCACTCTGATTAAGAACAACTTCTAAATGTCTCCACCTTTGATAACGACTATATTCTTGTTTTATGTTCTGAAAAATTTGCTCTGAATAAAAAAGAAACACACTTGAGCATTCACTTTATTGTATCATTTCTTCAAACTTCTTGTCCTTCCTCCCATATTATACTAAACAAGAGAAGTGTTTATACCAAATAAAGCACCCCTCCTGGAACGCTTCTAGAACCCCAATGTGTGCCCTCTTATTGTCGCTATTTCAATAATACAGAGACTAGCAGCTATTTTGGCATTAGCCACCCAGACAGTTCCCTTTCCATGTTTTCTTTGACAATGAACACCAGGTCTGTTGTTTGCTGTAGGATTAACTAGTACAACTTACTGGGGGAAAAAGTCCTTTCCCTCATAGGGGGCTATTTTTTATCTCCTTTAAGTTGCACAATTTCACAAACTAGTGTATTAGGGGTAAGTCTCTCACCACCCAAGGCGTTCTAACAGTGAAGCTCTTGTCCTGTTTGGGACTCAAGATCTTTAGGGAAGAGGAAAGCAGAAACTATCATGTTCAGGGGAAGATCCGAGATTTACTGCTTGGAATTGATGATCAGACTTAGAAAAGAATTTTCTGATCCTGAAAGAGGCAATATTTGGTAGGATTCAGATTACTATTTTGAGTTAAGTCACAAACCAAATTTAACACAATTAAAAGGAGTTTGGGACACACAAATCACTAACCACTTTGAAGTACACTCGAGAGATAACATAGAATCTGGAAGGATGTGGTTTTCAAGTTTTGCATTTCTGTGGTAGTGTATGTATTCATTTTCCAGATAATAAAGCCTCCTTATCAAAAACAAAAACCAAAAAATTTTATCCCTCCCCAACTCACATTATTCTAATGTACACTTTGCTATAGCTATTTTTAATGAGGGGGAAGTGTTAATGCCATTTTGCTTCTTCCCAGCTGTGTGACTATGACCTTGACACGTCATTCAGGATCTTTAGCCTAGTTCTTCAATATATGTGTTAAATGCCTGCCCAATAAAGTTGTGAGAATCAAAATAAAAAATATTAATAATGCCGTAACAAGTAATGGTACAGCTCAGGAACTGACATGAACTCTAAGTTGCTCCACATACAGCTAAATTCTGTAACACTCAACCAAAACACTTGAAACTACATACGTGTAGTTTAGCAAAGCTTTCCTTTAAGAATGCTATGAAGTTCATATTTTAGATCCTTGAATTCATGAAGTCTTTGCTTCATCTTTAAAATGTATTATTCTCCAAGCACATTCTTGCCAGATTAAATGCAAGGTTGTAAGGAACTGCAAAGACTTGAAACAAGAAAGGACAAGTATGAGGACAACGCTCATGAGAACAGAAGGTCTTTGATAAACCTATAACTGCCTCCTGTATGGCAAAGTGAACAAATGGAAAGATACAACTTTGAGGCTGGGAGAAAGACTAGCAAAGTCTAAGAATCTAAACATGGTATGCACCCAAAGAAAATAAGAAAGTAGATGTGATTTTCTTCCCAAGGCCACATAAAACAGGAAAAGACAATTTTTAAAAAGAAAAATGCAAATTTATTTTTAACAGTGGATAATAATTTTAATCTTTCCTTTCATTATTATTTAAGGTTGTGCTTTCAGGTTATATCTGACTAAGCCATATTTCCAGTTCCATCAAGCACTACAGTCCAGTTGTATTAAAATATCCTTCATTTGCAGGTTTTCTGGCCTTTGCTCAAGCGTTTTTGCTTTACTTCCAATGGGGCTGTGTCTCTACCTCCAACATTATTTAAGATCCAGCTAAAATGCTACCTCAACCTAGAAGTTATTCCTCAACCCTCAAGTCATGATCAATTAATTGCTTTGCATCCAGACTCACTCCATGTTATACACTCATCTCCGAGGTCAGCAACTACCTTCCATACCTGGTATCCACGTCACTCATTTTAGCAATAAAAGGCTTAATTTTATAGGCCCTTTCCACAAAAAGGGCTATGACACGTATCTTTTTTTTAAAAGTGAAGTTTTTAAAACATAGTTTCTTGACCATTTGCAAGAGAACTTTACAATCCTTGAGGTAACAACTAGTAGGATGTTACAAAGTGAAGTCACTGATTTTTAAATTCACTTTTCTATTAGTTGGCTTTATTCTTCCTATTTGTTATGGCAACTAATATTTCCTTCCCCGCTCTTCCATTTTAATCCAGAAGGCGTCTTTCACTTAAGCCAGAGCAAATAATGAATTATTTATACTTTCCTTCTTTCATGACAGAACCATATTCCAATAAGCATTAAGAAATATAACTAGCTGATCAATGTTTACAAATGAATATTTTAAATAAAATAACTAAGCTAATTTGCATAACCTATGCAAAGATTAAATTTTAAGATTAAAAAAATTGTGACCTCATTACAGCGTTCTGCCATATTAAGGCTTCCAAATATATTCAACCATCATTTATTAATCATTTGCTGTAATGTGAACTACAATAGAATTAGTCTAGAGAGTGGTATTGGAAGAAATAAACATTTTCATAATATTCATCAAGGTAGACAGGGTAAGTATTAATTATGTTTTGCAGAAGAGGAGAGACCCAGGAAGATTATGTGACTACCCTTGTGTATCTGTAGGAGCAGTGGAAGAAAAAAAAAAATCCCTTTAAGTAGGCATCCACACCTTTTGCTTTTGAAGGGCTCTTTACAAAGAACTTTTGCAAACATTCTCATTCAGTACATAAGGCTTTTTGCAACATTAAGTGGTCAGGGAATTTAAAGTAGAAACCAGTTCCCCTTATGGGGCAGGGTTAGTCACATAAATACATGGGAGATTTAAGGAAATGACTATTTGAATTAGCAAACTTAAGGGGGAAAACATGATAAAAGAAGGTCTGGGGAAAAAGCGCAAAAGCATAGTTTGGGAAAAAAAAGCATAAAACACTTAATAGGTAAGATACGGTTATAGCTGGTAAATCCTTTCAATGCCAGCATAAAGAAGAGGTGAACACGAGTAAGAATATAGTAGTGTCTACTAGGAGAGCTTGGCTGGCAACTGCATGAATCTTGGTTCAAGAGGATGAGGGCCTGAAAACTGCATTGTGGATTTGCGAAGGAGGAAATAAAGCCTAAAAACGGGCAACTAAAAAGGGGTGAGGAATCAGCGATTTTTAAGGCAATCCCAATGTTTTGCTTATGTTTGAAAAGTAGAAAAAACACACACAAAGAAATGACTTGCCAAAGTCCAGTTTTGAGACTCCCCCCATTTCCGGGAGCCCTTAAAACTGCTAACTATTAATTCCGATGCACTTTCCCCTCAACAACTCCACAATGGCTAGGTTTTTTTTTTTCTTTTTTTTTTACTTTAATGTTACACCAGCTCTCCCCTTTCCTTGGCCAATGTGGAATCCCCTACTGAAAGCGAGTGTCTCTGCTACGTATGGTTTAATTCCTGCTTCCGGAACCTCTGTATGTTTAAAGATTCTCAAATTCTACCTAAGGACCTACCGTTTTCAAGCCATGTACGGTACAAGACAATAGCCATACAATAAAACATGGCCAGTCCCTTAGAATTAGTCAGGTTGCAATCGGATTCCATGACTTCTGCGGCGGCCTCTGGTCCCTAAAGACTTCTGGTAATCAGGTCTCCCTACAGCCACAGGACAGTGCTGCACAGCACACACTCAGGCCCCTTCCCAGTAACCAGCCCGCAACCCCCACCCTCAAGGCCGGGTTCGTGAGTAGAATCCAATTTTCCATGGCCCACTGGATCTGCAGGGCTGCTCAGTGCAGGCAGCGGAGGCAGGAGGGGCTGGGGGAACTGGGAGGGTCCCGAGCCGCCAGGGATATTCCCATCTTCCTCATGGTGCCCACCCCTCTAGGCTCTCCAGATCCAGGAACACAGAAAACCGGCCCTGTGGCCCCACCACCCCTCCCGGATGTCTCCCATCCCCGGAAACGACCAGGCCCAGCAGCACCCCAGTTCCCTTTTCTCAGGGCAAAGAAGGGGTCTATGGGTGAATTAGCCTAGCGTCCATAACCCTACCCCCACCTCCCCCCCCCACCCCCCAAAATGCCAGGGCCTGGCTTCCTGCCAAGCCCGCAGCGTCGGTTACCCGGAGTTGGAAGGCGCCGCTCGCTGCCGGGAGGGGCGGGCTGCTGCAGAGTCGGCGGTGGGTTCTGCATCTGGAGCAGCGGCGGCGGCGGCTCGNTTATCTTCATAGTCTTTTAAGAGACGCTCACATATTATTCCAACTTGTCGGAGAGTAAAGGTGGGCTGGTCCTTCTTCATCCAGGAGGAACCTGGCCAAAAGACAAATCTAGTTTACATAATAAATTCTAGTTCTAAGGTTCAGAATTAATAACTTCATGCAAACAATTCTATGATGTAAAAACTGTTTTAAAAAATCATGTTTTCACTACTTCACGTGGAATATTTTCAAAAAATTCTGAGTTTCTGATATTTGTTTTACAAAGCAAGGACAAAGGTGAATTGCGAAACAGGAGAAACATGTATCCAGGTATGCTAGCTGATTTGCATACAGAAAAAACAGTTCTGATGCCATAACAATCTGAGCTCATACTCAATGCTCATTTGGTAAAGGTCAAGAACAAATGGTTTAAAGCTGATATAAAGCCTCTAGCCTGGATTAGAAAAAGTAGAGTCACAGCATCAATCCACCCAGGTCCTTGGAGATCACTAAGTCCTATGTTTAACCAAGATGGTGTGACATAATTATCTAAGGAAGTAACAACAAAAAGATACACATTCTGATTTAATTCTATGGTAGGGCTTGGGTGTCTTTTAAGTTGCACAGGTGATTCTGATAAGGTTAGAAGTTTGACAGGAGACCAAGTGACTTGCCCAATATACAAAACTGTTAGCAGTCATGGAAGTATGAAGCAGGGAGGCAACTGGGCACTACATCTCATCTTTGATCCCTTTTGAATCTAGGTCAAGAAGAGAGAAATGTTGAAAAGATAGTAGATAGGAACCAAAATATCCACTGGAATGCCAGAAAACATAGAAATCCACTTCCTAATCATGATAAAAGCAGCATTTCCAGCTCAGTTTTGAGTTGTTCTTCAAAGTTTAGCCTGGCACCTGTTTCTTTGGCCCTCTTAGTCTACGCATCATTTAATATCCTGAAACTAATCATTTTTTGCTTAAACTAAATTTTTTTTCTCTACACATGAAACCTGACCAAAACATCTAGCCAGTTAAATTATTTGTAATTGTTTCTCTACCCATACATTGTATTACTTCAAAGTTAATACTAAAGTCTTGAGAGAAAATTGAGACTCGCTAGTTGTAACCACTGAAAGGTCTATCACTCATGTATGTGCAAGAGCAATTAGAAAGGGTGTTGGTGGTCCAAAGACAAAACCTTTGCGTTATAAGAAGACAATTAAAAAAAATTTATTTGGTGAAATTCACATAAAATGAACCATTTTAAAGTGAATAAGTCAGTGGTATTTAGTATAGTCACAATATTGTACATCCACCACCTCTACCTAGTTTCAAAACATTTCTACTACTCCAAAGTAACACCCCTTACCTATTAAGCCCTTTCTCCCCGTTCTCCCGTCCCTCTAGCTTTGAGCCAACACCAATTTGTGTTCTAGAGAGACAATTTTTCTTTTTAATTGGGGAATTGGGGGATGGGTACAGTGCTGGGGAATTGGGGGAAAGGAAACAGACAAGTTGCTGTCCTTTTGTTCTTCAGTCTAGTTGTGGAGGACGTTGCTTCACTGGCCCAAGTTGGCACC